CGGCTATCATATTCGGAATCAGCATGATCGATTACCTATAAGCTACCGCATTTCGTTAGAAAAGCGATTTGACAGTTGGATATGTTCCCTCGTTAGTTAAGTTGAGGACTTAAGGATTGTTATCCTGCTCTGTCCCCGTTAAAAAGATTTTGCCGCTTCCTCACCTTTCAGAACCTCTTTATGTAGAATGTTTTTCCACTTCAATATTGATATTGTTAAACTTCTCTTCTCGCTAAACGTCATGTTTCATTTCAAAAACAGTTATAGTAATACATACCAGAATAGATCGAGAATTTTTCATGTTCATTCTTCCACAGAATAGATGACAAAAATATTATTTTGTTGTTTGTGGGTTTAGATTCGATTATTGTTAAATAGTGCTCAAGAACTCCACTTTGCTAGACTTATCCATAAAACAAAAGAATTTCTGTCCGAAACAAAAAAATTTATTAGTAATAAATAAGCATCGAAATCGTCTCACTAGTACTGAATGTATTTCTCGAATAAATATTCGAAAATATTTTTGTAAAGTATAAAAGAAATGTGTAAGTTTTGGTAACGTAGTTTGTTGGTGAAAAAATGAATTTTGAAAATGAGTATTAAAATTTTTTGTCTTATCTTATAATAATTCGCAAGTTTAAGATTGTTATTAGGCAACTCACAGACAAATAACTTTTTGAAATTTATTATTTTGCTCATGTTTAGGTCTAACAAGAAATCAAATATTAATTGAACCAATGGAAACGTTATCATCCACTGTTTCCACTCCACAAATGAGTCCTAAACCAGCTCTTGTCAATAGTGAAGATGATTCTCAAGATGGTAGTCAACTAACAACATCAAAAACACTGAAACAGACCATAATAATTCAAGATCAAATGGAATGTGAAATATCGTCATCAATAATGAATGATTCACTAACAATCGATGATTTAAGACTATTAGTTGACTTATTTTACTTGCCATATGAACACGGTCAGATAGCTATACAACTTTTACAAGAATTTCACTGGCTAAAAGTAGATAAACCGTCACAACTACACACAAATACAAGACAAAATTCAACAAAAGTAATCGAACAATGAATATATTTTTTGATACGCTATTTTCATCTATATTTTGTAGACTGAGGAATGGCGTTCTCGGTTATTAAAATTTAATAGTATACGAAAATCAATAGGTAAAATGGTTCAACGTTTAACAACAATTCAAAATCGTTCATTATTATATGAATTATACAATTATGCATCAGATATTAATTCAACGATTTCTTTATGCTCACAGTATCTAAAATGGACAGGTAAGTGTCAACTAGCTATTTGATATTCGACTTCGATTAATATATCAACTTTTCGCTCTAGATGACAGTCAAAAAAGGACATCAGTATTTATGGCCGGTGATCAAGAACCATGGGTAAATCGTGGTGGATTAAGTGCCGAGTTTTTGGTATGTATTGATTTATGTAGACTTTTTGATCGTCCATAAAGCAGACAGATATTGCTGGATAATTCTTTCGAAAACGTACCAGGTTTTAAATTAACTTATTGCCAATTGTTTCGAACTTTCAGGATGAGCACAGAACTCGGTTAAAGGTACCCCTCTCCTCGTTCTGGGCTTTCTGTAGAAGTGCTGTGAAATAAAAACTAAAACCCACTAAGGCTTCATATTTTCAGAACTAATTGGAAACTCAATGAAGCACTTTTTCGTTTTTGTTTCAAGTTTTTAACTATTACCGTTCACCAGTTTTCCGAAAAACTCGGTTTCTCATTTGACCACATTACGACCCGCCTTAAATTTCATTCGATCAAGTTAAAAAGTTTACCAGAGATACTCAAGATCATAGCGCAGAGGTATAGTTTTTGAAATTTTCTTTACCGAGTGATAGGAAAAATGGCCTCCAGACGTTTCGGTCCTACCATTCTGAACATCCGTCTTTGACATCGGATGTTCGGAGTTGACATTTTAATCCTCCAACGGGTGTTCGGAAAAGAATCTAACAGATGTCCGTAACCAATAAAACGGATGTTCGTAAGATAGAGAACAGATGTTCGGAATGGATTATGTCATATGACAGAGTCATAAAAAATGGATGTTTGTAAAAGAAACTACCGGGTGTTTGGAACGCAAACATAGGGATGTTTGGGACAAAACAACTGGTGTTCAAAACGGACTTAAATATAAAACTGTAGAAAAAGAATTTTTTCGATGATCGTTCCGAACACCCATATTTTTCTTATTACGAACATCCGATATTTTTATCTTAAAAGTGATGATTTTTTGAAGAAAAACGGATGTTCGGAACGGACTATGACATTGGATGTTCGGAATGAAAAGTAGTGGCGAAACGTCTAAATGCCGGAAAAATACCGAAAAACTTTCAGAAACCAAGTTTTTAAATTTTAGAAACCCTATCACGAAATAAAATTCCGAAATTGTATCTCTACGTTCTGATCTTGAGTAACTCAGTAAAATTTTTAACTCGATCTGAGGAAATTAAAGGCGGGTCGTAATGTGGCTCAATGAAGCCCGGTAGCAAAAAAATAGTTTTCGAGAAAAAACACATTTTCTACATAATCCACATTTTCAGAGCATTTGCCGCGATGCTTATATCTTCACGAAAACTCATTCAAAAGTTCTGTGAGATGTTTCATTGTGAAGAAAACACTTTCTTCTATCAGACTATGTGTAAGAAAAATTTTGAATGTATAGAAAAGGAGAGAAAGGTTTATGAAACTAAAAAATTAAGTTTTTGTAGGCTTTGAAGGAAAAACTCCAGAAATGCATAACTTTTTGAAGAAAGATCGTGGAGTACTGGTAGTGGTCTCATTTTGTAGCCGATACTTTTCTCTACATTAAGCTATGTTCAGCTCAAAATCCGAAATTTTTTCAAAAAAGAGGGGACGGGATACATACCCTTAAGTAATAACAGAAATCGTGCTGAAAAATTTTCAAACCGCACTGTAAAAAAGAACGTGGATCATCAGTGAATAAAATCGTCTCAGTAGGTAAAACGGATCCCTTTAGATAGGTCACGGCTCACTAGATCATCTTTATATCTGAGAGATACACTACCACGTGTTTACTGACCTACTAACGCCACAGTGCCCTTAGTTTCCTCAGTGAATTAAAACGTGTGGATCCAGTGGATTCATTTAGATGGATCGTGCAGTAGGCCACTGTCCAACTTTATCTTTTACAGTGTACCAAAATCACTGTCAGCACGGAACAAACTTTTCGTGAACATTCGTATATCTTTTCATCAAAGTATCACTAGAGATGGAACATTTGGATTAGAATTTACATATGTACGGCTGCAGACTCTCTGGTGTTTTGAAAAGTTTATGAAACATTGAGTGCTTTCTAAACACTGAATGTACAACGAGTGTCTCAGAATAAAGTCCACTAAATCTTGATGCATTTCTCTCTCATTTCCTGTTTATAAAGAAAATTCATTTATATACCAGACAATAGACAATTTAATTCTCTACAAGATTGTATATTTATTATTAAGATTCATTTTTAATGTTTGGCACAGTAACTCTAACAAGAAAAGCTCAACATTTTTTAACTGCACCATACACTTTTAAAGTGCAAACTACTCTCGTTTTTTGAATTGTTTATAATAAGTACAAAAAAATTTGAAATAATTTTATTACCGTCAAATGGTGAAGAATTTTATGGTTTACAAAAGAGATTTAAAGTTAATTTATTCGAATTGCTAGTGACTTTAATACATAAACTTCCAAGTTCATCGACGTTTCAAGCACTAAAAAAACGTTTGAACTATTTTAGTACAAAATCTAAAGTTTAAATCATTAGTTTGTAGACCGAAAAATGCAGAATTTCGCGCTCTATTAGACTGTGTAACTTACAAATTTACCTGAAAAACTAGAAAATACCGGATGTCGCTAAGGTGGCCGAAAAGTAGGAGAAAATAACCTTTCTCAAAGATTCTTTTTCACTCCGTTTCATCTAAAAAATTATTATTTCTCATTAAAAAACAGAAAATATGTTGCGGAGTTTTTCAGTGTACCTTGTTTTGTTAAATAAGTGATTTTTAGCAGGGCTATGCGCATTTTTTTAAAGATGCAGTTACAGAATTTGGAGCTCTTCTTGTTAGAGATACTGCACCAAACATCAAAGATGAATTTTAATAATAAATATACAATCTTGTAGAGAATTAAATTGTCTATCGTTTGTTATATAAAGGAATTTCCTTTATAAACAGGAAATGAAAGAAAAATGCATCAAGATTTAGTGCAATTCATTCTGTGACACTCGTTCGTTATTTCATGTACACTTAGTAAAATCTATTGTGTCAATTTTAGAACGTATTACCAATCGGAATGTATCAAAGTATATTACGTGATCAAAAATCATTGAGTATTTACACCGTTCGACCAATGTTATCAAGTGATGATGTATGAAAAAATCTTCTTGAATTTTATAAATATATTTATTATTTTTTCACTCATTTTTAGCCGGTATTATACGATATATATACTCAATCGTCTTTCAATCATAGTTACAGTGATCTTTTATCTCAATATCCTGATATTATCGCTGATAAGTAAGTTTCTATTTGTCTTCTCTTCTATTCAAAAATAATTTCAATTTTTGCTTTTGAAGATCTATCGGTGGTTATTTAATGTTGGATCGTGATTGTTGTTTTGTCATAGAAGATTCAAAGGATTCAATATGTGGATTTTGTTTAACAACTCTTGATAGTCATTTATTTGATAAACATTTACAGCACACATACATACCACAAATGATACAAACATATACTTCAGATAAACATGATAATAGTTCAATAACAACAACAACAACAAACGCAAATAATAGTCAGATACAAGTACGATCATAGACTAATAGAGTTTATATATCTTTCGAAAAAAACAAAAAGTAATAGAAAAATTTTATATCTATTCTATTTGTTTTAGAAAATATTTGAACCTTTCACATGTCCACTATGGCTCTATGAACGTTTTCCTACTCGTTTACAATTTTATTTTTATCCACAATGTGACAATATACAGATAATATGTCAGAAATTATTAAAAACCGTATTTGGATCATTGAAACAAAGAGGTTTAATTTTTTGATCATATATTTTTATTTGATTTTTCACAATTATATAAATTAATTTTAGGTATTCAAGGTTGTCATTCAATATTATCTGAAAGTGATTGTACTACACATCAACTTTATTTGAATGTTGGCTTTTTAGATTTATCATCTATGGATATTAATGATCAACTAATTATTGTTGGCAAACGACTTTAACTCTTTGTTTTATATGTATCAAATATATTTACCTAAAGTCAGTATTTCTTATCTACTTTTTACACTGAGTAATTAGTGTAGCAAAAAATAATTTTGTCCATGTTTTTATTTTACGAAAAGTCTTCTCTTTTTTTGTGTGTGTAATTCAACGAACTTTTTTTGTTTATATAACGGATGGTTCAATTTGTTATAAAAAAAAATAAAAAATAAAAAGTCTGAAGACTTTAAATATCACATACCTTACTAAACCTTAGAGCCATTCTAATTTTACATAGGGCAGTCCGGTTTCATAGCCCGAACGGGATATATATCCCATTTAGGTCAGGATATAAAAATATATCCTGATCGGGCTATGATATCCTGATCAGGATATATAATATATATCCTCTTCGGGATATAGCCCGATCAGGATATATTTTTATATTCCGAATGGGATATGGTATACTGAAGGCACATCAAGACACGGTGCTTTTTGTTTTTGGATGTGGGAGTGGGAGTTCATCTTTGAAGAAAACTAGATAGCCACTCTGAGTGTAAACGATTACCACATTTGCTGTGATGATGGCACCGTTTTGGCATTTTACCGCAGAAAAAAACAGATATCGTCGGTTTATATAGTTCAAAATACACTGAAAAATATGTTAACTTAACTTCTTTCAGTTGTTTTTGTTGGATTTATTATCTATAACACTGAACAGGACTGGAGCAGGCGGAATATATTACTACGAACTGCACTCCTTTATAAGCTACTCAACAGAGCATCGAACTATTTATGCATATATACCGAACGAGATAATATCCCGATCAGGCTATTTTCTATATTCTCATTGGAATTTAAAATATCGTGAACGGTAGACCCTTAAACCAAGACTAGAGCATCTTTGATTCCTACTCAGTTTTTCATCCGCTTTCTTATGCTATATTCACTTTTGTGCAATAACGTCATGATTTTTGCGGTAATGATTTTTTCCACAATGTTTTGCAAAAATATCCCGATCAGAATATAAATTTTCTGTGATATCCCGTTCGAGATATCGGTCGTGAGACCGGACTGTAGGTTCATAAGATTCTTTGTAGAGTGTTTGATTGTTGCAATCATATGAACAAAAATTTATTAAAAATAAAGTACAATTTAAAAAATATTTGGACTATGTGTACATCTTCAACATGTCATGTTTCACGTGTAAATGACTCTTTCAACTTTGGAATTATTTCTCTTGTTATACGTAGGTAGTAGCTGATTTTAATAGTGAGGCACAGTTCGTACGAGGAAACCGTTGCAACTATCAAATCGCATTTTAATCGAGATTTAGTGGGTTATAGGTTACCGACCATGCTGATTTCGAATATGACCACAGAGGCGACTGCTAGGTCTTCGGAGATTCGGTTTACTAGAAAACCAGATTCCCAAACCGACAACCTTTTCTCACTGAAAATTTTTTCCTGACACTTTTAGATTGTAGAGCACATCGAGTTGTCTATAAAATAATAACTTTTTTCATTTCGGAATGGTTTTAAGCATACAAATTGGAGGCAGTGTAAAGTTTCTTACATGTAACCGTTACGAAACGAAAAACGTTATTGTTTTATAGACAACTCGATCTGCTCTACAATCTGGAACGATCAGAAAAGATTTTCGATCTGGTTTTTCGGGCCTCCGAAGGCTTAGCAGCCGCCCCGGTGTCATATTCGGGGCCAGCACGGTCGATAACTCATAACCCACTAGTTTTCGATAAAAAAGCAATTTAGCAGTTGGAACGGCTCCCTCGTTAATAGACTCCACTGAACGGTTCTCAGAATCAATTCAAAGATAGCTAATTGAAGATAAAATAAAGTGAGGAAGATGCGTGACTAAACCTTTGATGATGAATTGTAGCGCCTTCGTTGGAAAATAATGAATATAACACGTTCGAAAACGGATGCAATTATGAATGCAGCTCAAAACGCAAAATGGCAAAAAATAACATATATGTCGATGACTGAATTTTTGGACTACACGGCTTGTCCACGTAACGCGACACTTCACTGATTAAGTTTTTAAAAATTTCTTATTACCCAAGAACCGATATGAGCACATCACTAGATGCAATTTTTCGCGCTGATTACAAATTCGACCTTCTTAGCAAATAAAAAAACAATTTTAGTGAATAATTTTAATTGAAAATTTTTGACCTAGAAACTTTTTTTAGAAGATTTAAAATTTACACCATTCGATAGAAAATTAAATTCTCTACAAAATGGCTCATTTTTTAAAAAGTTTTTCAACTTTACTTTTCACATAAATCGATAGATATCACCAAATCTATGGCATATATGAAAATCAAGTTTTTGGGAGGACATTAAGTGCCCGAAAATTCACTGACAAAAAAGTGTGTCAAACCGTCTGAAAAATGTCACGCCGTCACATTTATAAGCGAGGGAAAGGCTTTGGAAGAAAATTTCTTTTAATATTGGATAGTTCGTAAGCTTTTCTAAAACGTTCACTGTAGACAGTTTTCACTTGCTCAAGCAGTTTCGCAGGAAATTAGCGTTTAATTGGATGTACTCGCAATCCAGGGCCTTTGTCTGTTACGTTCGTCATGCACCGAATAAGCCGTAAATATTACCCAAATTTTCTCAGTTTTTTACTAGAGACAGAGGACGATGAATTGTAACAAAATGACGGTAGAATCATCCTTCTACCTCTTATAGTTTCTATAAAAATTGAGAATTACTATATCAAAAATGTCGCGCCGTTACGTTTGGATAAGCCATACATTTAATTATACGCCTGGGAAATATTTGTTTCATCTGTTAATTGTAAATGCGCTGGTATTGTACCGTTGATATCCGAGAAGTAAAAATGCAATAAGTTTTTTTCTAATGAACAGATCTTTTTGAATTCTTTTTTATTTTATTTGTCAAACGTTTGCCCACTACCACTAAGGGCAGCAGCTCTTTAATTGCTTTTGTTACTGCGATATAACAGTTGCATTATCGGACGCTAAGACTTTTGGTGGCCTTTCCCATTGAAAAATGAATTTTTTTCCAAAAAAAACAGAATGAGTTCTAATTCGTTTTTTGAAGAATAATTTGAAGCTGAAGGCGAACTCGCTCGAAATATATAAATGAATTAACGGTTTAATTAAATTTTCTATGGAAATAAATCAAAATATTGTTGTTATAGGCACTTTGGTCTTTTTCTATCTCGCAACATTGCATGTGATTATCGCAAATATTTTAGAACTTAATATTAGACACATGCTAAATCCTATTTAAACTCAATGAAAATCGACTTACTTTGTCTACACTACATAAATAGATTGTTTCATAACTATGGCCCATTTTGCAAATAACATTATTGTATCTCAATTAAAAGGATAAAATAGATATTTTTATATAGAAAATTTCCAAAAGTAAGATGAGTAACACAATTTTGAATCTGTTTTTTTGTTGAAAATAATTCAAAGTAATAACAAAAACAAAGCTGATTTTTTAAAGTAAGACAGACGTAAATCATAACGAGTGTGCCATAATAAACTGAACTAAATATTACTGCATTTTTTTCGTACTCCCTCTTCAAATAAAAAGTTTCTTTACATACCAAAAGATAGAGAATTTCAAGCTCTACAAAACCTACTATTCGAATCTCTGAGAGCATTTTTCTCGTTTGAACACCATTCAAAATATTGAAGAGTGCTGAGTTGTTGAACTGCGACGTACTTTTGTTGCCTCATTTTTTTAGAGCACATTGTCTGAGGTTCAATAGTTAATTTTTCTAGGTAGAAAGATAGAAAATTTTGCGCTCTATCGATCCCACTCATTTACAATCTTATACAATGTTTCCACTACGTTAGCTGATCTCATAATTAGTTCTCAACCGGCTTTTCAATTTTTTCAAATTAAATTAATTTTTTTAATTAATGGTTTCAATTGAGAAACTTTGTTTGTATATCAAAAGATGCAGAATTTAATTCTATGTAAGATAATAAGACTAAAACCCTGGATTCAGAACGTTTTACTGCTTTTATAGTCCAAAAACTAAATTCTGTTCACAAGTTAGGTTTTTTTAGATTTATCAGCTTTTTGCACAGAGAAATTTTCCTAGAAGATTTAACTGCAAAATTTCGAAAAATATGTGAGAAGATGCAGAATTTTCTGTTGAATCTTCTGATGTTTTCAAAAATCTTATGGAATTTATTTTTGGATCAAGGCAAATGTTTTTCTATTTTCAGTGTGTCGCAGTTCGACAAATTTCGAATGGTGCTCAAACGAGAAAAATGCTCTCATAGATTCAAATAGTAGGTTTTGTAGAAGTTGAAATTCTCTATCTTTTGGTATGTAAAGAAACTTCTAATTTGAAGAGGAAGTACGAAAAAATGCAGTAACATTTAGTCCAGCTTATTATGGCACACCCGTTAGATCCACATGGGTGGATGCGTTCGAATTTTCTGTGGAACCAGAGAAGTGTATTGACACCCATCCTGGCTGCGAGCGCGGACCGAAGGGACGCGTGAGCATTGTCTCAAATTTAAAATATTTTTAGACCGCTGGAGTTCATTGGGGGGAGTTCAAAAATTTAACAATATCTTTTTAAGTAATTAATTCTTTTCTCAGCCAAATAATGTCAGTAAGCCGAAAAAACGTCAGGACATATACTTCGAAGGGTCCGCTACAAACTAGGAATGTTAGAGAAAAATCTAAATAGGGGGAGCCCCCCCTTAATTAATCAAACATACAGCTTGTATACCATATCTAAATTAAACCTTTTCTTACATTCTGTCCGAATTAGTATACATATTTTGTTTTCTCAAATAAAAATATCAAGTTCGGATTCTGACCATATACATCACAAATCACAAACTTCTTTAACTCTTTCTTGAAAAGTTTATTTGCCTATTCTGAAAGATATTTTCCTTATATGTCCGTCTTAATATCGATAATATCGACGATTACCATGACCAGAAGAGAATGTCGGAAAGTGTTGACAGTGGAAAAAAGTTTATTTAAAAGTGATGTAA